ACCTGGAAGAGGTCTCTTAGCCAAAGCGTAACATAGCTTGATTACTTCCACAATCCACCTGGACAGCGTCTGGGAAGAGATCTTCTTCCCTAGGGAGGGCATACTGTGAGCAACAAACAAGGCTGGAGACTGACGAAAAGACTTGGTCCTGCCCAAATAGAACAGCAACGCCCTCTTAACATCCAGAGAGTGCAATTTCCGTTCCTCTTCATTGGCAGGAGACGGGATGACCACTCGAAGAACTATATCTGAACGTAGATGAAACTCCGAAACGACTTTCGGTAAGAAGGAGATGTCCAAAGACAACGACACCCCATGAGGGGAAAAAATCAAGTATGGTGGATCACACCTTAAAGCAGACAACTCACTGACCCGACGAGCAGAAGTAATGGCCACCAAAAACGCAGTCTTGAGCGATAACAACTTTAGAGAGCAAGTGGCCAGTGGTTCGAAGGGTTTTCCCATCAAAAAACGCAAAACTAAAGCCAAATCCCAGGCCGGAGTCGGAGAACGACGGGGAGGGTACAGGCGAGGCAGAGTATTCCCAAGGGTGTGAATGCACAGATGACCACTCGAAGATCACCAGTTACAGGTAAGCAACCTGTCTTTCCCATACTGAAACAACAAATAAATGCCGGGAGGCATTCAGCAGGTGCTGCTGCATGCACTATGAGGACAGCTATTGCCAAACAAGACTAAACAGAAGCTGGAGGACTTACGGTACTTTTTGACAGCTCCACGCTCTTTTCCCCTAAGTCAGAAGAGACCGACTATGATCAAGAGAAACAGACAGCAAAGTCAGTGGGGGCCCTCCTCTCTAACTCTTTAACATATAGACAGCACCCCTATGGTTGCCATCAGTGGCACCCTTACCAGAGGATATATAGATATGCAAAGGTACCAAAGGCATAATGGAGTGAACAGGTCCTGAGTCCCTACACAAACGGTGCCATCAAGGGAACCAACACAGCCCCCAAAAGTTGGACATGTTTGGATAATATTTAGCTAAACTGTCGGGTGTAAAATACCATCTGTAGAGCATCTTGTAGAAGTTTCCTTTAAGATATTTGATAGTAGTTTTCCAAGTTCTGTTCCATTTGTCTAACTCAATGTTATAACCAAAATTTTGGGTCCAGGCAATCATGGGGGCCTTCACCACTTCATTGTACATCTTAAAATTTAATAGAACTGTGTACGGTTTTTTAATGAGATTGTCTTCTGTGGTTAATAAAATTTTATCTCGCTCAATCTGTTTTTCATAAAAACCACTCTGTCTTTAGTATATCTGGATTCTAATTGATTCCTTTCCCACCATGATAGGGTCAAGTCTTGTGTCTGTAACGCATTCTGGGTTTTAAGTTCATTCTTAGTATCTAGTAAGTCTTCATATCTTCCCATTAGATTTTTAGTCAACAAATTAGGATTAGTGAATGCTTCCAAAGGAGCAACCCATTTTGGAATTTTAGTATGGAAAGATCTTTTAATCTCTAGCCAAGTTTTCAATAATGCATCTCTGAGAGTATGTTGTCTAAAACATGTGTGTATGTCTTGGTTTAGTATACCACAAAAAGGCATGCCAGCCCAATAGCAAATTATGACCCTCTAATTTAAAAAGTCTGGTATTTTGTAGAGTGATCCATTCTCTAATCCAGGTCATCGCTGCAGCCTGGTAGTAAGAATGCCATTTCGGAAGTGCAAGCCCTCTGCGATCTTTCCTATCCTGTAGTGCTTTTAGTTTGACTCTTGGTCTTTTTTGTTGCCAAATAAATTTTTGAGTGAGCTTTTCTAAATCTTTAAAGTATGATTGGTTTTTCAGTATAGGTATAGTTTGGAAAAGAAACAGTATTCTTGCCAATACATTCATTTTAAGCACCACAATCTTTCCCAATAGAGAGAGTTGCATATCCTTCCATTTTTCCCTTTTAATTTTGGTGAGAAGTTTTAAATAATTATTTTTGAATAGTGAACTACATCTATTTGTAATGTATACTCCTAGGTATTTTATCTTCTTCTGAACTTCGAACCCTGATATCTTTTGTAGTTGTTGACTTTCTTCTGGAGTACAGTTTTTTATCATTATTTTTGTTTTCTTGGGGTTGATCCTAAATATTGCTAATTGCCCATAATCATAGAGTAACTTTAATAGGTGTGGCATAGATTGTGACAGTTCTTGTAATATTAGCGCAAGGTCATCCACAAATACTTGTACTTTAAATTCTTCACCTTTAACTTTTAGGCCCATAATTCTATTTTCACAGTTGGGTTCTGTTTGATTAGAACTTTAATAGGTGTGGCATAGATTGTGACGGTTCTTGTAATATTAGCACAAGGTCATCCACAAATACTTGGCTAGGTTACTGTTACTGTTAAGAGTTTGTTTCTGTCCCTCCCTCCTCCCCTCACCAGGGTAAGAGTGCCCAAGCTCAAATGGGATTGAATCAGGCCCTGCAGGGTCTGCTAGAAAAGGGCATGATTGAACAAGTCACCACTAACCATCAAGTGGAGAGGTCTTTCTCCAGGATGTTTGTTGTTCAGAAGGAGGTGGGGGGGGGATTAGGCCCATACTAGGCTTGAGAGGCCTTAATGTGTTTTTGAAACTTTTGAAATTTCATATGGTTTCCATTTCATTGTTGTTACAGTCATTAAAGCCTAATTCATGGTTTATGGTTCTTGATCTAAAGGATGCCTACTTTCATATATCTGTTCCCCCAGAGTTCTGCAGGTTCCTTCACTTCCACTGCAGTGGTGTGTGTTCCAGTACACTGTTCTCCCAGCACCCAGGGTGTTTTCAAAATGCATGGCCCCAGTAGTAGCATTTTTGCGGTTGAAAGGGTGTGATATTTTCCCCTTCTTTGACGACTGGCTGATTGTGGTGGAATCCGGGGAGGACTTGTACCAACAGTGTTTCCTTGTACTCTCTGTTTGTCAGGACCTGAGTTTACTAATTTATTAGAAAAAGTCCAGTCGGTACCTTACCAGAGAGTCCAGTTTATTGGCTCTGTACTGGACTTGACACAAGGGAAGGGCTTTCTTCCTCTGGACAGGGTCCAGAATATTGTTAACCTGGCCAATGAATTTAAGACAAAATACCTTCAGCCAGCACGTAACATTTTAGAACTCTTGGGGTATATGGCCTCTACTACAGTGGTTTCACCCCACACACATCTACATATGAGACCTTTACAACTGTGGTTCTTGTCACATTATAGGGCAGGGCACTATTCCCCATACCAGAGCTTCTTCATACCCAGGTAAGTCATTTGAGACTTTACCTGGTCTGCTGGGTTAGTTTGGATATCAGACTGGATCAGAAATCCTAATGAAAGACTGATAAAATTACATGGCAGTGGGCTGGCTGCGGGCTCGCTGCTGGGGCTTGCTGTGGGCTCCCCCCTACAGGCTGATCATGGGCAGGCAGTGTGTGGTGCAGGAACAGAAACCTGTGGGGCTTGGCTTCAAATTAAGGGGTGTGGCCCTGAGATGCCCCATCATAGCTACGGGCCGATGTCTAACTGATTTTTGCATGGTAGTGTGATATACTGTTTAACTCAGCCCTAGTGTGCTCAGACTTAGGGGCTGAGATTGTGGTTCAGTGGCAGAGCATTGGCTCTGCATGTCAAAGGTCCCAAATTCAGTACTCAGCATCTCCAGTTACAAGAATCAGATGATATGAAACACTTCTGCCTAAAAAATCCTGGAGAGCCACTGGTGGTCTGATTAGATTGTACTGACCTTGATGGACCAATGTTCTGACTTGGTATAAGGCAGTTTTGTGAGTTCAGGCCCTTTATGACAAACTTGGTTTTAGGTTATTGGAGGCTGAAAGGACCATCATATCTCTGTTGCAGCAGATCCCAGCTGTGAAACTGTATCTGATCAAATGGGCTATCAAGGGGAGCAGAGTAGGTAGTGAAGGAAGAGTTAGAGAAGGGTATGTCATAAGTGAAGAAGTCAGCAAATGAGTGTAAGGTGTTACAGTCCAGTGAAAGTACAGCCTGTTAGACTGATAGGTTGTTAAACAGAACAAGCTACAGTATACTCCATGCCTTTCCAATAAGTGTCCCTCCCTGACGCTTGCCTTTTTCAAAAGACTCTTTCTGTTTGTTCCTCTATTTTGGTCCCTGTAGGGAATACCCCCTGATGCTAAATTTATTCATTAAATTTATTTTTGCAATTCCCACTTTAAGGTAAGTGAGTCTTGTATCACAGAAGTAAATTGTATATCAGGTGTTTCATTGTGCTCAAAAGTATTGATGAATACAGCAAATGTCCTGCCTAATACTGGGTGCCTGTGCTGTTAATACCACTGTTTGCAGGCTCAAGCAGTAAAGCTTAGTGTTGTGCAGACAGAATAAATTCTACCCTTCCCCCCATACTAGGGCTTTCCTGAATCTCCTTGTAAGAGTAGCTGCAACCATTCTTCCCACCATACCCCCCCCCCGGGAAGTAAGTTATGTTATGCTTATTTAGGACCAGAAGGATACTCATAGCCCCTTTCTTTGACTGTTATGGGACACTGGGATAATTCTGGATATACTGGGAGTGTATAATTTTGTGTTGCCAGAGCAGGTAAGGAATTTTTTCCACTGGCAGACTGAATAGAATTCGATGACTCTGTCCTCAGGCCAAAATAGACGCAATGAAGATCATGAGCCTCAGTCAGTCCATAAAAAACAAATTGCATGCAGAGCTGTGATTCAGATTGAAGGAATAGAGAAAGGGAAGAGAGGATTTAATTCTTGAAATTCTGCTTGTTTCCATGCTGCTGTTAAGAGGTTTCAATAATGGGGAGAAAAGATATGCCCTTCTAAAACCTGTATCTTCTTCGTTTCAAACAGTAATAACAGGATAGAGAGTCCAGGTTTGATTAGCAAAACCAAGTCGGCCTTGAAAGGTTAAATCCCTTCTTCCCCTCTTGCATGATACTGATCTGAATTGTGACTGACTCATGATCTTTCAGAAAACCTTCTGCCTCATATGCTTCTTTTTAACGCTTTCAGATTATTCTGCAATGACGACAGCAAGATACAGGCCTACTTGGGACTTGGTGCTTGATCCTCTCGTATCCTGTAAGCTCTGCCTTGGGGAATACCCTGTGGAACAGATGACAAGGATAGCACAATGCCAATGCATCTTTTGTACTCTGGTTAGTACTCATCAAATATTTCTGTACTGTGGTCGCAAATTGGTCTAAGGGCATGCTGTTTTAACTCCCACTGAATTCAGAAACAATTGTATTTGTGGAACATCTTGTTTCTCTTACTCTCAGTTAAAATTGTATGTACCTAACAAGACAGTTCTCAGTGGGACTTCAGTTCCATGCCTTGAGTTCCTATAAAGTAGAAAGGTGGCTAATAAGTGTTTTAAATAAATAAAAACAAAACATACTTCTTTTTTTGTGACAGGCCCGAGCCTGGCAGAATAAGAGAGTTAAACCTTTTGGGTTTTAGAGAGCTAGTTGGCATCGTGGGTTGGTGGTTGCATGCATGAACTGGGGAGACCTGTTACCCAAAGTGGTTGTGAAGGTCTCCTGAGTTTGTTGGGGAATTAGCGAGGAAACCCAAACAATGTGAGAGGGGGTAATAAGCAGGATCTCCACCTTTGTTTACGGGGATTTTTCCCTCAGTAGAACTCTCAAAATGAACCAGCCTGTGATTAATGACATGGTTTTTATTAAAGAGAATTTAAAAAATAAATTTAAAACTTATTACATGAAAAGCACTATATATGAACACACATACAAGTTCAGAAATAAAGATGGTAGCTTTATAGAGATAAAGAAGGAAACTTATGTTATGGGACTATATTTACCTATCCAAGGAACAAAGATCCAAGAAGGAGAATGAGCAAAATGAACCAGCGCCTCACGCCAAGGAGGGTGCCCAACCTTTTCGGTGGGGGTTAGTGAACGTCCAGATACATACACACATTATTGAACAACGTATGTCTTGGTTATACCCCTTGGAGCATGATGTGATTGCTCCTAGAACAATGCTGTGATGGTGTGGATGAAACAATGTTGTCTGAACCAGGAAATTTCATAACATTCCTAGGAGTTGCAAGTGCAATGTTACATTTATGTGAAATGTCTATTGTGTTTGGTGACCCCTAATTGCTAGGACAAGACAACTATCACACAAAGGATTATGGGATTAAAGTGGTTTTACTAGGTATTTACTTCATCCAAGGAACAAAGATCCAAGAAGGAGAAGGAGCAAAACGAACCAGCGTCTCACGCCAAGGAGGGTGCCCAACTTTTTCAGTGGGGGTTAGTGAACGTCCAGAGACATACACACATTATTGAACAACGTGTGTCTGGTTATACCCCTTGGAGCATGATGTGATTGCTCCTAGAACAATGCTGTGATGGTGTGGATGAAACAATGTTGTCTGAACCAGGAAATTTCATAACATTCCTAGGAGTTGCAAGTGCAATGTTACATTTATGTGAAATGTCTATTGTGTTTGGTGACCCCTAATTGCTAGGACAAGACAACTATCACACAAAGGATTATGGGATTAAAGTGGTTTTACTAGGTATTTACTTCGGATGGCCAGGCAGGGAAATGTCAGGCAAGGTAGGAATGTTGGTTAGATTTACTGTCCTTTTTGAGAAATCAGTCTTTGACATTGATGGATTTAACGAGGGAAGAGAACTGCCAAAAACCAGAGTTTTGCACCTTAAGATCAGTTTTTCAGACTGTCCTCTCTCTGATCAGTATTCGATGGCACACATTCCATTTTGACTGTAGGATCTCTTTTGATCACTTGTTTGCAGACCAGGGAAGAGTCTTGAATGAGTGATCCTGTGAGATGCTAAGAGAGGGAATGTTTCTTCTGCCACCTCTCTATAGGTACAAAGCTCATCCTTCCAAGGGAGGAGGGGTCCAGGCCTAACAGACCTGGGTTCAGTTCTTCACACAGCCATGAGACTTTGACCGTTCACTTATGTTCAGCCTGAACGCCCTCACAGGGTGGGGTGGGGGCTGTTGTCTGTAGGACAGGATAACAGCCATGTGTGCAACCCAGAGTTCTTAAAAGGAGAAGAACAATGGAAACGTAATAATAATATATGGCTGCATCAGACTCTTAAGTGAACAAGCTCCAGTTATTATGATAAATGTATATTTTAAATAGCATTTATTAAATCACTTGTTTTTTGTAAAAGCACATCTGGTGTTAAAGAGAGCAAAAGGAAAAACACGGGGGTGTCTGCATGCTTCATCAACAATATTTCAAACAAGGAAGCAGACCAGAAATCACGTAGACAGCTGCATAGAGCTTTGGCCTCTGAAGTTGCAAAAAAGCAGCATGCATGGAAAAGCGAAGCCATCTGGTTAAGGTCATAAGTGTATGCGTACAGAATGGGTGGGGGAAGAGTAGGAGTCGAGGCAGCACTGCATCCATCCTGTTAAAAAACAAAAGCTGTTTCATTTCGTGCTCATGTAGTGAAAACTTGGTCAAGAATGCAGATGAGTAAGAAGTAACTGGTTTCAAGAAAAAAAAACCAAAACACCACACTGGACAAAACTCCATACTTGCATCACCCTTGAAGTGGGTTTTGTATGCAGAGCTGGTGCTTACATGTCTCTTATTCTCTAAATCGATGTCTTTTTCTCTTAAAAATGTTAATTTTGCGACGGCTTTCATTAAGAACAAGTCAAATGGACATGTTTGTCTCCTGCTCTGTTGTTCTCCATATAGAATTTGAAAATATTTTATTTGTGTGTTTATTAAAATACGTAAACTCTGCCTTTCTTTTGCATCTCAGGATAGCTCACGTGTTGCAGATTTAAAACATGTACAATACAGTAAAACCCCATTAGTCCATCTCCCACGAAAATGTCTGCATCCTTGAGCCCATTGCAATCCCTAGCAAATAAAATGGTAGCTGCTGCTATAACAGCACCTTCCGAAAACTTCCAAGGAAGCACCTCCTCATCTCCTCCAAGAGCCCATTCCACAAGGTGGGAGCAGCTATTAAAAAGGATCAGCGTCTCATAGACTCCAAGCAGACAACGTTAAGCGAGGAAACAAGAGGGTGGCACATAGTGGATTGTGGTTAGTGCACAAGTACCCCTGGGAGAGGTGTGCTGCTTTTTCTACATTTCTACTAGTGGCATTTAAGGTGTGAAGAGGATGAACAAGCCTTAGCAGATAACCTCTTCTCAGTGGCTTAGGACTAAAATGTGTTGAGATCAATGGGCATTACAGAAACAAATGTACATAGAATGGTAGCCAGGGACTACATACGGAGATAACTAAATGCAATTCTTAAAATACCCTGATATATTTTAGAGGACTGGCTAGTAGTGCTGGGGCATCCTTTTCACTTTTGTGCTACTTAGAAATGCTGGAATGTCTTTTTCAATTTTGTGGTTTCTGAATTTAGTGCTGAGTTGCTGTTCTAAATCCTGTGTGTGGAGAAAGAGCCAAATGTGTTCCCCACAAAGAGAGCTTTCAGAACTGCACAGCTGGAAGGAAGGCAGACCTTACACCAACTCTCAACCCTGGATGAAAAGAGAACTATTACAAGACTGAGTAGTTTTCACTCCCTTGGCAACCCCTGAAATGTTGTAAAGGGTTTGTAAGGGATTACCACCTTTCTACAATTGCATAGTGTTAGCATTGTTGGAAAGGAAGGGAGGTTGTTCTCCTGATCTGTGTACATTGCAGGGAAACGTATGGGTAAAATCTCTTGCACTGCATTCCTAAACAGAGGTACAGCCTTCTAAACCTATTGACTTCAGTGGCCTTAGAAAAGTGTGACTCTGGTGATTTAAATGAGGCAGTAGGCTTTAATCAAAGCATTATATATGGAATTTATTTTCAGTATTTTGCAGAGTTTAACACCAAGCTCTTTTGTTTCAGATACAGAGTACATGAGAACTTTTCAGATTACAAATTGAAATTTAAATAAATGAGCTTCCAGGAAATAATCAACTTTCTGTATACTGTGATCAGCAGTTACTCTTGATTGATTACCATACTCTTAAGCAAGAGTCACAGGTATCTCTTGTTCACCAAATTAGATTAAGAGACAGTTCAAAACGTGAGAAGCTCACTTTTTGTTTGCTCTGACTAATCTTAATAGGAGTGACTTCTAAAATAAGAGAGGTGCAGCTCTGCTAGGACATGGCAGTGGTCCATCTAATCTGGCATCCTGTTTCACATAATGGCCAACCAGATGCTCCTGGAATACCTGCAAGAAGGTCAAGGGCTCCTCTTCCACTCCTTGTTCCCCTCCCAGGCAACTCAGGTGTATTCTGGTTCGAAAAATGACTGTAGAGTCATTGTAGTGAATAACAATTGATGGTCCATGAATTCGTCTTGTCAAAAGAACAGGTTTAGTTGTTTCCTAGGAAATGTTGCAGTTTCTTTCTTTTTCAAATAAATATCTACATTTCATAAAAAAAGAAAAATATGATAGCAACGTAAAAGTATTGTGTTATATGCATATTGAATTTACACATAAACAATGATTGAAAAAAATGTTATGCACAACATCCCGTCCCTCGGAACATAAGAAGAGTCCTGCTGGATTATACCAGTGGTCCATCTAGTCCGGCATCCTGTCTCACACAGTGTCCAACTAGTTCCTCTGGAGGGCCAACGACAGGCCAGAGGCCTAGGCCTTCTCCTGATGTTGTCTCCTGACACTAGATTCAGAGAGTGTCTGTCTCTGAATCTGGAGATTCTCTTTAGTCACTCTGGCTAGTAGCCACTAGCTACCCTCCATGAATCTATCTAATCCCCTTTTAAAACTGTCTATGCCTGTGGTCATCACTATGTCCTCTAGATATGAATTCTACTTTTTAATCTCTCTCTGTGTAAAGTAGTGTTTTCTTTATCCTAAATTACTGCCCATCAGCTTCATTGGATACCCTCAAGTTCTAATATTTTGGGAGAGAGAAAAAAATGTCTCTTTGTCAACTCTCTCCATCCCATGCATAATTTTATAAACCTCTGTCATGTTCCCCCATAGTGTCTTTTCTAAACTGACAAGTCCCAGGCTCTTCAGCCTTTCTTCATAGGGAAGGTGCTCCAACCCCCTAATTATTTTGGTTGCCCTCTTCTGGCCCCGGTCGCACGGGCCGGAAAATGCGGGGGGGAAGCGTGGCTGTTTGGCCCGGAGCAAAATAACGT